GGGGGGGGGGTCGCGCTATCGCGCTGCGAGCCCGCAGCCTTGCCCCAAGGACGGGGAAAAATTTTCCCTTAAGTCCAGACCCTTTGCGCAGGAGGAGGAAGGAAAAGCAAACCTTATCAAGACGAGAGTTGTAATAGTAAAGAAATGTGCGATCAGCCAAGGAGCTCTCTGAAACACAGCCTGACTCTTCGAGGCTGAGCAAAAGACTGGGGAGACGCTGCGCGATACCACGTGAGGGGGCGGAGCGTTTCCTCATCTAAAGCTCAGCCTGCAAGAAGAGGACTCAGAAGCACATCCCAGTCTCTGGATGCTCCGAGCGGCTCGAGGGAGAATATCTGGTTCTAACTTGTTATCTTCAACACAATTCTGTTTGCACCTATTAGTAGCTGAGCATACTGTGGCATACTGGAAATACCACAAAGAACTATAAAGTCAGTGCAAATACATATAAAATTAAAAAATGAAGAGTGTTAAAGCCAGCCTTCTAATCACCTGTCTCATGAGCGTAGATTTTCCTCCCATGTTTGGACCAGTCACAAGGACACAAGTAGCTCTGCTGTTTGTTTTTTCATCCTCCAAGCCTATTATAATATCATTAGGGATGAAATCATCTCCAAAGTATGTTTTTGTAATGCATGGATGACGCGAACTTTTGAGCTCCAGAAAAGGTGAGGTGTTCTCTGGCAACAAGATTTCTGGGCGGCACAATGGTCCATCACATCCCTGACTATAGCATGCAAGGCATAACAAAACATCTAGAAAATAAAACAAAAATAAGAGTTAACTTTCCTCCTTCAAGTATTTCTTGTGATAATTTCCTATTTGTGGATCTTTGGTTATTCGGGTTTTCTCCCGCGTAAGATTACGCGGGAGAAAACCCGAATAACCAAAGATCCACATACAAATACCCGCGAGAACCTCAGAAAACAAATTTCCTATTTAGCTATACATTTGGAATTATCATTTTGATTGCAGTAGAGATCTCTCATGACAAGTAAATGGTCTCTCTAAATTTCTGTCATATAACTTAAAACTTTTATATCCGAGACTCTACAGCTGAAGTAGAGTCAAAGCTATGCAGAACATATACCTGTTATTTTGAGGGTTGAGGTATTACAATAAAACAAACATATCATAATCTTTGCGCAACTGCAGGTTGTGCACCAGTTACACCCTTTCCTGGATCAGCGGTCCCTACTCAGAGTCAGTCATGCTCTGGGTCACTTCCCGTCTTGATTATTGCAACGCGCTCTACATGGGGCTGCCCTTGAAGAGCATCCGGAAGCTCCAGTTGGTGCAAAATGCAGCGGTCCACATGGTTTTATGCAGACCCCGGTGTGTACATGTGTCACCTCTCCTGCAAGAGCTGCATTGGTTGCCAATTTGCTTCCAGGTGCAATTCAAAGTGCTGGTTGTCACCTTTAAAGCCCTTCATGGCTTGGGTCCGGTTATCTAAGGAAACATCTCTTGCCAGTCACACCCACCTGACCCATTAGAATGAGGCAGCAGGAAATGTTGCAGGTCCCACCCCCCAGTGAGATACACTTGGTGGGACCCAGAAGGGCCTTCTCCGTGGTGGCTCCGTCTCTCTGGAACATCATTTCCCAAGAGATTAGAATGGCCCTCTCACTAATACTCTTCCAAAAGGCACTGAAGACCAGCAGGCTTGGGGAACCCAGAGAGGGATGGAGCCCATCAAATGGCTAGTGTGATCTGCTGCTGTCGAGGCAGGGGGTGGGAGTTGATTTTTGGTTTTTTGTTTTGTCTTGGTTTTTGTTTTCCAAAATTTTGTTCTATTGTACTTTACTAATTTATTTGATTCTTTTTGTTAGTTTTTATTGCTTTTATTTTTTGTTTTAAATATGGTTTTACATTGTGTAAGCCGCCTCAAGTCACCATGGGCGAATAGGCAGCAATATAAATTAAATAAATAAATAAAATATATAAATAAATCAGGGATGGGATTCAACCGGTATTACTACCGGTTCGGTCAGAGTGAGTTTTGCTGTGCGCGCGTGTAAAACAATTGCAAAAAACATCAGCTGTGCCACCTGGACAGCTGACAAACGCGCGCAAGTGCGCAGCGTTTAAAAATCCTCTTCTTTCCCGCTTTTTCAACCTCAGCTGTGCCACGCAAAGCAGCTGAGGTTGAAAAAGCAGGAATAAAGGACAGCCAAGAGCCTGGGCAGGCGGGTAGGCCAAACAGATGACCAAAAGGTTGTCACACTGAACTGATTCTGTGTCTGCTGCTCTTCAGAGCTACTGGTTCTATAGAACTGGGCCGAACCAGTAGCATCCAACCCCTGATCATAATTGAAAAAAAATTCTTAATAAATAAACCTGTGAGTACTTTTAAATAGTCCCAATCAAAGTTACATAGATCTGCCAACGTGATTCTACTTCTACATAGAAGATAACATACCTAGAACAGCAATGCATTCCACCGCAGTTTGCCAATCTTTTCTGCTTTTATCGAAGTCATAGAATAATCTTTTCATACAATCTTTTTGTGCTGCATCTCTCCGTTCTTCAGCATTGATAATATCATTTAACATCTTCTCTATGTCTTTTGTCCAGTAACGTTTATAGCCCTTTCTACTGGACTTCATGATATATTCATCAGGTAAATCCTGAGGCACAGCAGTTTCTGCAATCTCCATTTGGTAACGGTTTTTGCCTGCTCCCCAATACATCACAGCTCTGACACCAAGTCTTTTGCGTTGTTTTTCCAAATACTGGCGAAGACTTTCCTCAATTTCACTGATATCTGCTAATGCTTTATCGTAATCAGAATCAAAACCAGTTCTTGGATTAACCACACCTGTTCTCCGTGCAACATTATGATCAAAGGCAGAATCCCATCTTTCAAGTTCCGCTTTCAAGTCTGGGAAGCAGCCTACTGGATTTTTTGATTTCACTGTTGCTATTTGTTTTAGTATTTTAGATTTAAAGCCATCAACAGTATCTTTCAAGATTGAGAGAATTTCAATTATTATGTTAAATCCTTCCAGTACAGATAAGAAATCTATAATCTTTTTCTTGCTGTACCTAGCCTCCTCATATAAAATAGCGTTATTGTCTGGATGATTCTGGTTCTTAAGAGAAGATCCAATACTATGAATTTTGCTCAATAGCCTTTCAAGATCTGGGAGCTTTTTGAGACGGTCCCGGATATCAGACATTTTAGCAGCCTCAGCCAGGAGATCCTCAACTGCATCCAGGCGATCGTTAATGGCACAAGGATTATATAATGGTGCACAGAGCCATTGCTTCAGGAGTCTTCTTCCAAAAGGTGTACAACAAGTGTCAATTTTTTCCAATAACGTGCCCTCTATTGAACTCCTGGTTGCATTCTGCAGTATTTCCAGGTTTGCCAGTGTTACCCCATCTAGTACCATTCGCTGGTTTTTTCTCTCAGAAATGCTACTTGATCTGGTTCTGTTAACCATATCAACATCTACAGGAATGTATTCTTCAAAATTTGCCATTGATAAAAGTTCCTTGTCAATAATACATTTTTTAAGATAGAATACACAACTGCCTAGAGCAGAGAGAGCAAGTTCACTGTTTTCTGCAGGAGTAAATCCCAGTGAATCACTTTCTGCAGTCATGGATTTGATTACAGGGGGCAAAGTGATTCCACTATCCGTATTCTCCTTGTTCTGAAAATAACCTTCTTCAATAAGAGTTTTTAAAGTTTTAGATGCATTCCAGAACTGAGAACCAGGAGTCAAGCTTTCTTGAATAGTAAAAGAGATTAAGCCTTTAAGTATCTTTTGTGTTTCTGCAGAGGGGTTTCCTTTCTCAAAAAGTATCTGGACAGGAATATGGTGAGCCAGAAGTGTTCTAAACCTAGAACAATGACGGTCATCTGGAAACTGGCCAATATAAAACTTTCCAACTGTTGTATCAACAAAGCAAACTCCATAAGTACGATGCAGGCCAGCAGAATCATCTGTTTTTTCTTTTATGCAAAGAAGGTATTTGTTCTGGGTCTCTGAATAGTCACCATCAAGAATATTATAGGTCTGTGTGCCTTTGGAAATTATCCTGCATATTTCTCGACGCACAACTCTGTCAAATCTTGTTGGGTGAGCCAAAGATTTACACCGTGCTTCCATCTGCTCAGGGGTCTCCATCTGCTCAACTCGTACAATTTTATAACCTTTTTGGACTAGGACATTGGCGAATCTATCAAATGCCATTTCTGGAAAACCTGAGTGAGCCCAGGTGCCTTTCATAAATACCAATCCAAGTTTATTTACACCAACAACAGCATCCATATGATATAACTCATAAAATTTTCCAACTTTATAAAAAATCACAGCATCAAAATTTTGACTCTTCAACTCCCACCATTTCCTCATTCCTGGAGTGCAGTTTTTAAGATAATCCTCTGGCACAAATAAAGTACTTTGGTCATAATCTGGATCATTTTGTCGTCTTCTATTACCATCCTTCCTTCTTCCATCCTGAAGCCAATCTATTTTTTCATGCTCCCATACAGTTGGATTACCATCTCCTTCTCCCCCTCCGGCTGCTCCTCCATTAATGCTTGATCGAAAATCAAAACTTTCAGGAGCTGCATAAGATGCTAATTTATACATGAACTCAGGACAGAGTTCCCTACTGGGTGTTTCAGATAGGTTGTTTTTAAGATTAACCTCTTGGGGGGATTTACATGTCTTTTCCTGCGCTTGTTTAGGAGAATGTTTAGTAAGTGCTTTAACGGAACGCTTCTTTTCAGGCACAGTTTCAGATTCAGAAGTTTCATTGTCACATATTTCAACACTATTTTCATCACTGCTAACTTCATCTGGCTGAAATTCCATATCGGAACCCTCTGTGTCTGAATCCATAAAAATCTTTCTCTTTTTGGCTTTTCCATCAGAATGCTTTCGTCTAGCTATCCTTTTATTTCTACTTTTTAGTTCCTTTGCTGTGTCGAAATCGTCACCTTCATCACTCACCTGTTTAAGGGAAAAAAGCCAATAAATATAAAAAAATAGGTATTTTAAAGACAAGCTGATAATTAGCAGTCTAACACTTCAACTTTGCAACTTTCAAAAATTTGATCCTTTTCCCAATCTCCTATTTGTAAAGAGATGAGCGGATCAATGTTCTTTAGCTTAGACATACTGCTAAGAGAAATGTACAGTACAATAAAGGAAAACTATCAGGCATGATATTCCCCTCTGAAAAAAAAATCGGGGCCGGCCAAAAGAGACCCCCCCACCGCGCGCCAAGAAATCACTGCCCAGCTCCCTTTTCCTGCCGCTCAGCGGCCTCCGCTCGCACTGCCCGCCCGCCCGGGCTCCGCTTGCACCGCCCGCCCGGGCTCCACTCAGGTATCCGGCTGGGGCTGTCAGGAGTTGCTACCGCCGGCGCGGCTCCACGCGGCTCCAGTCCCGCGTTGCCTCGGGAAGGGAAAGGCAAAACCAGGAGCCGCTGCTGCCGTTGCAAAGCGCCGCCGCGGCTCTTCCTTTTTGCCTTTCCCTTCCTGAGGCAACGCGGGACTGGAGCCATGCAGAGCCGCGCCAGCGGTAGCAACTCCTGACTCGGGGCCTCCGAGGGGAGGGGAAGGAGGAGAAGAAGGGGGGGAAAGGGGGGGCGATTCCCCAAAAAATTGGAATTCTGATTTTAATCGGAAGAATATCATGTCTGAACTATGCAGCTTTTATCTAAGATAACAGCCCACATTTTTCTACATTAAGCAATCAATCATATCCAACTTCAACTTAAATAAGAGTAAATATAAAGCTCAAAAGATAAAAGAATTTATCTACTTTACTTTCCTCAATAGACAAGTTTTGATACAGATGCCTAATTGGAGCCCAAGCAAGTGTATTGATGTTTTCACAGGGAATTCAATTAGGTTCTTTTAACTGATTTGATTAGGTATTATGTTTTATATTTTGTTTGGAAAGGAACTCATGTTCCACTGATAAATTACTTTGTGAAACCTTTTTTTAAAAAAAAAAAGACAAAGATGTATTCACATAAAAATGTATCCTGAGAAATAAAGAAAAACATTTATCCTAGTATTTCTGATTTTAAATTCTGAAGTTAAACAAAATTACCTCCATTTCTTCTTCCTCTTCTTCTTCACTTTCTGAAGGTTTGTCACACACAGCTAGACCTAGTCGTTCACTTTTACCCTTTCTCATAGCAGCATCTGCCAGTTCCATTGCTCTTTTAATTTCAGGTCTTGAACTGTGAAACATACCTCCCCTTTGGGTGTCTCTGCCTGAAGAACCTTTACAATAATGGGAACCAGAAAGAGTGGTTATTCAGATCTTTTTTTTTCTAAGTCCATCCTGTTTTAACTTTCAATATCTACACTTAATAACACTGAATCCAAGCTATTTGCAATCTTTTTGAAATTACTGAAATCCCCAATTCAATCATTTATCTCTCTGGCAAGGCTCCTGCTTTCTATATAACACACATTAAAACTACTATAGAACACAAGTGTAGCTTTAAAAATTCAAAGGATTTTATGAAATTTATACAATAACTGAACTACCCAAACACAGTGTTCTTTACACTCCAGAAGTCACAAGCATAAAGTAAGTAGAATCTACAAGCTGAAAGGGAAGTGTAGATAACAGCAGTAAAAGAAAAATGGCTCTGAATCAATCATGTCTCTTCTACCAGCTGACAGTGAAGAGCACGTTGTTTATTAAGAGTATGAGCCATTTTGAACACATTTTAAGATACACCATCATTTTCTCTGCTTGAAGATGAGTGTAGGAGAAAGCAAAACAAAAGCAAAACAAAGCAAACCTAATTTGTCTGGATTGCATTTTTCTAGCCTACTTAAGTCTGGACAAGTCTTCTCTTTTGAAGGCTATCTAATATGTTTCCCTGAAAATAAGACCTGTTCTTATACTTTTTTTGGCTCCAAACGAGGCACCAAGTCTTATTTTCAGGGTATGTCTTACCCGCTTACCTTAGGACCGCTGCAGCTAGGCCTCCCACTCTTGACCCTGTCGCACCACTGCCTGACTTCTTCTGCAGCCACTTGCTGCCAGATGCCATGTGGCGCATCGTGCTGGTGCCGTCACTCGCAGCAGGATGCTGCACAGCTCATTGTTCTAGTGATACTGCTCACAGGCTGTGTGGCGCGTTACACCACTGCGTATGCTCACTGTGGCACCAGCGCAATGAGCCATGTGGCCTCCTGCCACAAGCAGCAGCACCGGCGCAATGCTCCATAGCATCCAGCCACCAGCAACAGCATGCGCCACGTGGCATCTGGCCACAAAGTCAGGCAGTGGCACGACAGGTGTCGGGGCATGGGCTACCTGGCTGCAGCAATCCTAAGGTGAGTGAGTGCGGGATGTGTGGAGCAGCTCCACCCACCCACGCCTACTTCATTTTTATGCATGTACCTCGCCCTATCTCATACAACCATACGGTGGGATGAAATGGGTGTATTAACTAAGGCTTGTTTTTGGAGTAGGGCTTATATTGGACACACATGTAAAATCAGGCTAGGTCTTATTTGGGGGGAAACACGGCAGGACTGATCCTGCCTGACACTTCACCTAGATCTCAAGTTCTGTTAATATAGTAGGAACATTCTCTATTCTTTTTCGTTTTCAGAGGGAACAGGTAATTATGGTCATGATTTTCTCACTTTATTCCTAGAAATGGCGTGAAATAATTTTTGGAAGACCCTTCTTTCACGCCTAACTATAAAATCCATTCAAATTAGATATTTCTCTACCTCCATAAAAAGGTTCTCTGCATGTTCCTACACAAGCCAACATTTTGTTTCAAACAATCACATGGGAATTAGTTTGTGCAATTTACTGTATTTTTCGGACTATAAGATGCACTCCCCCCCCCCCCAAAAAAAGTGGGTGGAAATATCTGTGCTTCTTATAGAGCTAATATGGAAGCTTCAGCTGGATCAAAATGCAGAGACACAAAGTTGTTTGCCTCAGTGCGTCCCATTTTTGTCCAGAAGCACTCTGCAGGCAAAAAATGGGCCTCTTTTTGCCCTCCCAAACCCTCCATACGTCCTGTTTTTGGTCTCTGGAGGCCTCTATGGGTCCTGTTTTTGCCCTCCCCAATGTCCAGAAGCACTCCACGCGGAAAGGGCAAAACAGGACACATGGAGGCTTTGGGAAGCCAAAAAGAGGCCCATTTTTTGCCTGCAGAGTGCTTCTGGACAAAAATGGGACGCACTGAGGCAAACAACTTTGTGTCTCTGCATTTTGATCCAGCTGAAGCTTCCAGTTGGCATTTAAGGGCAAGCCCCTTGTAGCATGCATCAAGCCATGAGGTGACCAGGGCTTGAGGAATTGCCTGAAGGGAAAGCGAATCTAGGAAGGTAAACAGTGAAACTTTATTTTTTACTAGTGAAATAAATAATAAATAAATCACTCTAGTGAAACTTTATTTTTTACTTACCACATTGTTATCTACCCGTTTCCCCCAAAATAAGACCCTATCTTTTTTTTTGCCACCCAAAAAGGCACCAGGTCTTTTTTTTTTTTTTGTGGGGGGGGGGGGGGTCTTCCACTGACTCCATTTGCACACATCACCCCGGCCTCCTTTTCACTGTTAGAGGTCTTTTTTTCTTGTTTTCCTTCTCTAAATCTAGGTGTGTGTTATGGTCTGAAAAATATGGTATACCCTTTCTTCTTACCATTTTAAAATGCTTCCAAACCAGTCTTACACAATCTGGTGTCCACCAGATCACCATAAAAGTAAAGAATCCCTGGAGTCAATTGTGACACATGGTTATTAGATAACACGATCCCTCCATCCCCCTTCCTAGCCCACTCTTGCTTGTCTTCTTTTAAAGTATCAACCACATAAATCTACAAGGGGGATCAGATGACAAAAGCAGTACCATGCCACAAGGCTAACCTTTTTGTCATGTACTATGATACTCTACAAATGTACAAAAGAGATGGAGCCTTTGTCATAATGTTACAGTATTACTTTTATCATTTTGATGAAAACATCCTCCAACCCTATAAATGCTTTAGATGTTTTGAATAGATATTATAGGCTACATGATGCCACAAGATATAATCATACTAGCTCAGAATTATGAACGTTACAATCCCAACATATGGAGAATACATTTATTCATTATTATTCACATCCTGTACTAACCATATTGGGTTACAAGGATACTCCACAGTTCTCAATCAGTAGCTACAGTCTCTGCATCCTTTTCATTTAAGATTGATGCTTTTCAGATCTTCCTGAAACGTTTGGCACCAGGTTTTCATTGGCCTTCTCTTTTCCAACCATCTGGTAGTATCTAATTGATTGCAATCTTTGCTAGACATTGCTCACTCATGTGGAGCATGTGTCCAGCAAAGCACGTTCTTCGTTCTGTCACTATCTCAGAGTCTTCAGAAATTGCTTCTTTTTAGAATTTCTTCTTTCCGATATAAAATACAAAGAAATCCTCTGAGGCAATGTTTTTAGAAGACATTGAACTTATGAATAATTCTTGTGGTAGATTTCCAGGTCTCACTGGTATATAGGGCAGTCTGGCATTAGTTGCTGTGTTTATGGTAGACGTGATCCATACTGAGGGCATTTTTTGGAAGACAGCGGTTGCTTTGCCTATTTGGCATTTCACATCTGCTTCTGTTCCCCCATCTGTATCTAGGATGCTTCTAAACTAGTTGAAATTGTTCCACAAATTTTAAGGCCTGTCCGCCTAATATCGAGGTGTTGTCTTGAACATTGCCAACTTACATCAGCTTGGTCTTGTCTTCACCAATTTTTAAGCCCACTTAACTTGCCTCCCCTTCAAGTGCCATGTTATATATACTACATTTAGGAAAATTGTTTTAACCAGGCTATCTTTCTGTACTAGTTGCAAACAGTTGTACAAAAATTTATGTAGGAAAACCAGATGACAGTTGAATGAAATCTTGTTCAAATAACAGTTGTTTTTCTACTTTAATGGAAAAGCAAAATCAATTCAATATTTTCTGTCATATCTTTTTCCTTTAATTTTTTTTTCTATTTTAAGTTTAAAAATACAAGGATAAAAACTAAGAAAAATACAAAAAAGAAAAAAATGCAGAGAAAAGAGGGGATAGAAAAAATGTTTAAAAAAAGGAATACACACACACACACACACACAAAGAAATAACCTCTACCTCTCTTAATCTCTTAAATCTATTTTAAGAGATTAAGAGAGGTAGAGGTTAAATCTATTTTAAAACTTTCTAAAATCAATATTCTAATAATCCTGTTGCTGCTTATTTGCACATTTTAAAAAGTTCCTAAAATTACAAGAAACTTCTTTCAACGAGGATTGAAAGAAAACAACTGAATCAGTGGTGGAATTCAATTTTTTTTACTACCAGTTCTGTGGGCATAACTTGCTGAGCATGGCAGGGGAAGGATACTATAAAATCTCCATTCCCTCCCCACTCCTGGGGGAAGGTTACTGCAAAATCCCATTCCCTCCTCATCCCACTAACCTGCTTCCCAGCTCCGTTCTCCTGTGCAGGGCAACAAAAGAAGACCCAGCCAATCAGCTGAAACTCGGGAGGCAGAGAATAGATGGGGGCAGGGCCAGTCAAAGGTGATATTTCCCGGTTCTCCAAACTACTCAAAATTTCCACTACCAGTTCTCCAGACCTGGTCAGAACCTGCTGAATACCACCTCTGAAGTAAATGTAATAAAAATTGTCTTCTCAATATTCAAAAAGCAACATACAATCTATTTCTAGAGAAAGTAATTAAGAAACTCAGTGTCCCTTTGGAAGGCTCCTTATGCAGCTTGGTCAAAGCTGATTCTACCAGCGCTACTGGAAACATCTACATGAAGCAGGGGTCGCCAACCTTTTGGACCTCAGGGACCACCGAACTCATAATTTTAAATACCATGGACCACTAATATGAATTTTGACTGACGGTGGCTTGCTGATGTTGGTGGGAAAGTCGGTCCCATATTCCAGAACTGCAGTAGTCACAGGACTGGCCCTTTGGTTATCCTGGAGCAGCTGTTCCTCCACCCAGGTGCACTGGCCTGCCATGGACTAGAGGAGCTGCTCCAGGATGACCAAAGGGCCGGTCCTGTGACTTCTTCAGCTCTGGAATATGGGACCGACTTTCCCACCAACATCAGCAAACCACCCCGGGGCGGATTTCCCTCCCCCGCCGTTGGTCTTACCTTCCAGTTCAAGCTCAAGTGGCTCTACTCAAGGTAAATTTTGCGCCTGGCTGAAGGTTGGGGGCCAGCAGGTGGGCGGGCCATGTGGGCAGCGCAGCCTTGTGTTCCCGCGCAGCCTGGATTAATTGCTTTGGGGGAGAGTGCTTGGGGGGGGGCATTTCTCTGCGGACCACCAAAATTTTCTCGCGGACCAGTGGTCCCCAGCCCACTGGTTGGCGACCACTGATCCAGAGTGTTCAGGCAGCGGCTCTATTCAGTGGCTCCTCTTTCCACCACAGTTGTTGGCTCCACTCCAGAGCCATCTTCAGTTTGCCATACTTCCTAGGCAATCTATCATACCTTTTTCCCAATTAAAGAACAAATGTGTTTTTTGTCTGTTAGCTATAAAGATGAAGCAATAACAGGATTAAGTATAAATATATCTAACTTCAGCTGTAATATTCTGTTACTGCATCTCTTACCTTTATATGGTCTTATGTATCTAATGCTAACCCAGCCCCTTGAAGGATCATCCTCAAAGAACTGTACATGGATACGTGATGCTCTTCCTCTCCCCCTTAAAAGTGATCCTTCTGTTGGGTGTGCATACACAAGGCATGGCCACCATGGGTAGCCTTCAAGTTTGGCCCAAACTAAATCACCAGGTGAAAACTCATTGAAGTCACTGCAAAAAAGGAGAAAAATAAGTGTAATTTTAACACTGGCTTGCAACTCTTTGAACCATTTGAATATTCTTTTCTAGAATCCCCCCAACTGCTTTCTGCCAATGCTACATATTCTGGGAAATTACATGGCTCCTTTAAAAATTTGCAGAGAAATGTGCCTTTGCACATTCCATCTTTCAGAATTGTATCTATGTAGATCTATAAAAACATTAAATGTTTATTTTTGTTAATTAAGGTTTAAGTATTGGAATTTACAGGTCCTATTTTTGATGTTTTCTTAAAATCATTAGACTAGAACTATAGTTTCTAGTTTAGAAACTAAAATGCAATAATCTTCCATGTAGCCTGCAATTTTCCAAGATTATGACTCCCAAATGAAACAATTCTGTTACGTCCTCAGCATTCCAGTCAGAGTTACATCATAAGTAACTCCACAGTGAATTAGTTCTAGATAAACTGAAACTTGCCAGCAGAAGCCGAAAATGTAACCACACAAAAGCTGTGGGCAAAGGATCCAGAGGTAAACAAAGTTTATTATTAGCATATTAAAAACACTACCTCTAAATAATTAGATGAGCAATATAGAGATCAAATGATGTAATATATTTGAAGACAGCTTATATTTAACAGTTTGGAAGAGTATCATCAATATGCAGTTCAGTATGCAACCAGATGAAACTTCAGACACTTCTCAATGAAGCCAACTCCTGTTTTATTTGTTATGTGCAAGCTGATGTCATCAAAAAATAACTCCTATTTTGAAAGTTCCTTCTGAAAACTACAAAGACCATCAAGATTTCATTTTAGAAACTATTTAAAAAAGCGGGGGGAATACCATCTGACTAGGTATAACACAAAATACCAAAGGGGAGAGAATACTAAAATAAACAATCAACTATGGAAATAAGGTCAGCAAAGAGCAAAATAAGTCCCTAAAGAGGAAAGGGCCTCCAGTTGCTTGACATGCACTGCAGTGCTGCTTAGAAAAAGTGTCACAAGAAGGAACCAAGGACCTTCAGGATCTTAACCCGACTTCCTCCAATACCTTGCATGCATATTTAGTTAGAAGAGACTATGGTGTTCCCTAATTTTCTTATTCAAACTTAACAATAGCCTTCATACTGAAGTATGCATACATTTTAATGTGCCTATTTTTTAAAATGTCTTTATCTTGCTATTGATTGGATAGTTTATTTCAATCATATATCGCAATTAGATTTTAAAGTTTTCATTTATATCATAGGAAGCATAAGAACTTCATGTGCAGAAAATTAAGAGCCTAAGAGAAGGAAAAAAACCTGTACCTCTAAACAGTAAGAAAAATAAACTGCTTGAGCATACATTCCTATGCTAATAATAGTATTAAAACAGATGGCTTTCCCCTTTTTGTTTATTCTGCTGCTGAACCTAAAATAGGAAATTTTACTAGAAGATATAAGCTATAAAATATATTGCCTTCTTATCTGGGTTCTTCCCATGCACTGTGTTGAGCCTAACAGCATTTTTCCAATAAACCATTTTCTTTTAGACTGTCAGCGTGCTGCCTTTTTCCCCAATAGTCAGACAAAGATTATCACCAAATCACTTGAGCAGCAGGGAGATTGCTGGAAAGGAAACTTGTAGCTATCTGGACCTATCACTTCCTTGCTTGAGTGCATTGTGGAATTGAGCCCAAAATTTATGTTGCTAAGTGAAACATTTAAGTGAATTTTGTCCCACTTTACAACTTTCTTGCCACAGATGTTAAGTGAATCACTGCAGTTGTTGAGTTAGTAACACAGTTAAGTGAATCCTGCTTCCCCATTGACTTTGCTTATAAGGTGGTCACAACAATTGTTTGCATGACCCCAGGACACTGGAACCATCATAAATATGAGTCAGTTGCCAAATGTTTGAATTTTGATCACGTGACCATGGGGATGCTGAAATGGTCACAAGCATGAAAAATGGTCCTATCACTTTTTTCAGTGCTGTTGTAACTTTGGATGGTCACTAAATGAACTGTAAGTTAAGGACTACCTGTATAAAAAGTTGGTCCTATACTGGAATGGGTAGGTAAAGCATACTGCTTACCTAAAAGACAATTATTTCAGTGAAATTTATGTCTAGGCCCAGCATAATACAACATTTTATTTCATTGCCCATTCTATATTTATTTCTGTGGCAGAAATAAAGAAATCAAATTTTTGTGCCCCACTGAATACAGTAGAAAATGCTTCAAATCACACTTGCAGAGGAAAAGCTTGCAATTCAGAATGAATGAATATCCAGATCACATTCCTTACACATGGTTTACACAGAGTGGACAAAGAGATTTGAAGCAACTATCCTGATCTAGATAATTTCAACTGGAAAAAAAATGTTCATTAAAATTCCACTTAAAGTACAACAGTTAAAAAATAAATATTCCTACCTTTGCTCTCTCTCCCCAACCTATCATGACACATTGGGGGACTTGGCTGGATGCAGCCATGTATTATTTCACAAATTATGCTTCCTTGCAGCAGATAGTTAAAGAATTTGACTGTTGTGAATTTTCCTCCATCAAGATTGTGCAAGACTCCTTTCTCTGAAACCTTGGCTAGAAACTTAAGACACACAGGATTTAACTACAGTGGATTATCAAGAGCAATCACTGGCCTTGAAACTGTAGAAATGGAATTTAGTGATGCACTGAAAACACTGTAAATATTGACAGTGATTTAAAGCAAGCAAAGGAGAAAGTTGATGAAAACCATCAGTGATAAATTGCAAAGAATGCTGCAATTGAACCTTGTTTAGTCAACACTTTGCAAAATCAGTAAAGTTCTAAAGGAGCTGGAAGCAAAATTTGAAGACTAGAGCCAGAATTTTCTCCAAATGTCTTTATTAACTCTATAAATAGTTAATTGTTATGTGTATTTATGATTGAAGGAGAGTAGGGCAGACAAAATAAAAAGTGGATAAACATACTCCAGGAAAAAAAATGGAACTGACATTTCAGCCACACTTTTCCCCTATACTTCCATTTTACAAAATCTTTTATTTTTCCATGTGTATATACTCTGCTACCACTATCCACTCTTATATATTAGTTTCCAATAGTTCACTTTAGAGCACACTTTTCCATTAAGCTTACTTTAAAAGCAACTCTCAAGATGGCCATTTTAAAAAATAGTAAAACTGTACAAGACCACTCCTCTCCAAAGCTACGCTGACTCTGGTTTTATTACCGGGGTCCATCTTTTATTCCAATGAAATGCACACAACCGGTGTGCGCCACAAACAACGCCAGGCCAACTCCTTTACTCCTGGACGAATTGCAAGTTTATCCTCTGCAAAGTGTCATCTGAAGCATTTTCTACTGTATTCAACGGGGCACGAGAATCCGATTCCTTGCTTTCTGCCTCGGAAGTAAACGAAGAACGAAACAAAATGCGAAGGTCTGCTGGGCCTAGACATAAATCTCAGTGAATAAATTAATTCCCCTTTAGGTAAGCAGCGCGCGCTTTACCTAGGCCCAAGCGATTGCCGCGATGCCCGCAAGCAACGAAGAAATGGCTCCAAAGTGTTGCAAGTGTCAACTTATTAAGGGCGTAGCAAGAACAACTGCGGATCAGAGGACCTTCTCCCCCCACCCGCCCCCAAACCCCGCTCCATTGTGTGCTCCCTCGAGAAGGAAGGTGCTTAAGGCCTAAAGGTGGGAAAATCGCCCGAGGAACGAAGCCGCCTCCCAGAGGGCCTCGGCTGCCTTTCTCCCTTGGGACCACGGCTCACCAATCAGGCGGAAGCGCTGGCGTCCTGCCCTGGCTGCTACTAGGGGCACTGGCCGGCGGTGTCTCTTGCGGGGGGCGGCCCTCGGCGTCTCTCGTGGGGCTTCCGCTGCCGCCGTCATGACTCTTCTCCGCAGGCTTTGAGAAAAACGTGAGGAGGCTGCTCTGGCGGGACATGGCGGCGGCGGGAAAACAAAAAGGAAAAACGAGCAGCCGCAGCCAGAGCACAGCCAAGAAAACGAGGCGAGCGGTTCCGCGCCGCCTTCTCCTCCTCCGTCACGCTGGCTGAGCAACGCGCGAAATCTGCGACCCCGCCCCGTCAGCTCCGGGGGGACCCTCCCATCGCAAGTTCCGGGCTAAGAAAGAGCCCGCCTTTGGCCCTACTTGGAGGCCAGCGCCACGCCTGCAGGCCCAAGCGAGTGGGAAGTACTGCCAGGGACGGCTTTTCGCCAAAAGAGCCGCCTCCTCTAGCTCTGCTGGAATCAGAGGATTCTTGTAGAAACGGAGAACCGGGAAGAAAAGTGTCCTTCCGGGTTAGGAATAATTAGCTTAATCGGGAGTACCCTTCTCTAATACGTCTTCTCGTTGGATTGGCCTCATAATCTGACTTCCCGCCTGAATGGGCCAGAATGGCGAGCGTTGAAAGGCCTTTCGCCCAATAGCAAGAAAACAGCGCAGCGGCAAAATGCATTCTGGGCCCCTGTTTTTACCGCAGGAATGAAACAGAATAGGGGTTCTGCCCACAAGCAGCGGGGGTGGGGAAGGGCTTCCTTTATTTTATTTTATTTGTCAAACATGTACAAGATAACAAGTATAGGTATGAACATAAACAAAGGAAGTAAATACAGATAAATGGGGACAGTAAGACAAGGACGCTAGGCTGGTGGGCTTATGCACGCCTCCTTTAAGAACCTCTTAAGAATGGGGTGAGATCCATGGTAGACAGTTTGAGATTGAAGCTGTGTGGGGTTGAGGCTGTAACAACGGAGTAAGGTAGAGCGTTCCAGGCATTGACTTCTTGCTGAAGTCATTTTCTGCAAGAAACTTCAGTGCAAGTGTTGCAGGAAATGACAAGACTCAGACCTTAGAATCAAAAGAAGTTGCTTTTATTTGCGCAAAGGGTCAGAGCAATATAGCCAAAGCAACACCTGAACAATCTCCTGTGGAGCCACACGTACATACCGTATTTATCGGCGTATAACACACACTTTTTCCCCCCTGAAAATAGGGGGCAAATGATGTATGCGTGTTATACGCCGATATAATGTTAAGAAGCC